AAACCCTTTGTTCAATATGGACCAGATTCAAATTAAATCCCAATTATTTAACAGAATATTTATTATACTGAAAACAAGTGGGATTGACACAGAATAGCAGGCCATTGTTTACCAGTTGTAATGCACTGGTAATGTTTGTAATTGTTAAGTCACTTGAAGAAATGCACTGTCCGCTAAAGGGTGAAGATAGTGCTCTTGATAATGGTCAGAAGAGAAAACAAAGTATGTATTAATCCTTGCATTTGTATATAGTGTCATTCATATCAGAAGTGCGTCTCAAAGCGCTTCACAGGAATTTCTGTGAAATGCAGTATCTGTACATGGGAGAAGTTTGAGTATTGGTGGCAGAGCTAGGCAGAGCCTCCAGAGGATCACAGTCCCAGGAAGGAGGCAGAAAAAAATCTGAGGAGGGTCCAAGGAAAAGTGAACATGGGGCAATTAGAAACTAATAGGATTGTGCATTTATGAGCAGAGGGAGTGAACTGTGAGAGGTTTAACAAGTGGCATTAACAGAAGAGGATAGCAATGATCAGAGAAGTGACCTGGCATTCTCATCCCTTGGCTTTGCTCCATCTCGTGGCTCTGCACCTATGCATATTTTATTATTGCAGAAGGTGGCAATCTTATCCCAAGTATACAGCCATTAGATTGTTTCTTTATTCACCTGGAGAGACATTATGCCAGAATGGACTGTTCCATAGGGTGAACCTATGGAAACACAATTCCAAACACACCCTAATTAATAATAAAACAACATTCATTTCCTTGCATTTTAATTTATTTCCCTTGAACCTTTAGATGAAGATAATAATAATAAGAACGTTGAGACATCTCAAAGCACTTTACAGACTATGCTGTAAAGTGCACTGAATGTGTATTTTGAGAGCGAAATGAAGATCAACAATTCTATTTGCATTTACATTCTTGAATGCTATCATGTAGTGCTCTATTGACATAATGAACACCAATAAGATGTATTAAGTTATCAGGCTTTTGATATTTTTTGTTTGCTAAACTTACCTCCAGTGTCACAAGGCTGCACCTTGGCCTTACATTAAACTGGCATCAAGTATTGATTGATAGATTCACTCATTTAACCCAATACATTTGATGTTAAGTCAACTGTGATGTTGTTAAAACCATCCTGCTAAACAAGGCTTATCATGAACTAAAGCCAAGCCTTGTTTCAGTTAGATTAGATAAATTAGATAATTAGATAAATTCATAATGAAATTCAATTTTGTTTTTTCATGTACTCTGATAAACAAATTATAGTGTTAAAGAATAAAAAATAATAAGTTTATACTTCACTGCCAAGTCACAACATTAAGAAGAGCTTATGTAATAATTGCCACTAACGCAATGTTAATCTTAACTCCACATTAAAATGCATACTTACTATCTGCAGAAAGGTTTAATAAAGCTTCTTTGCCCTTTAAGTCAATTAAATTCAAGAACTGTCTGGGAGTCCAAGCTCCAACACCAACAACAACTTGAACTTATGTAGCGTCCTCTACGCACAATAGCATCTCAGAGTGATTAACCTTGAATTCATATCCTTACAGATATTCGTCCAACAAGAAGCGTGTCTACATCTGCTGCAAACCAATGCTCTTCCTCCTGTGACATGAAAATGCCTTTAGCATCTACACAGCTGATTGTACCTGAATAGGTGCATTGCCTCTTTGCAAAAAGGAAACTGCACATTACTTTGACTTTTAATGGAACGTTGTCATATTCTTATTTAACACAGATTATGGAAAGGAACACTGCAAAACATTGTTCTGTGCACTGAATATTGCAACAAGTGCAGGCAGTAGCATATAGCTCACATCGCCAATCGTGCATTCATATACTCTACTGTACATAATTTGCTCAATTTCCATTATTATGTCCCAATTCAAATCGGGCATGTTTTGACACTTAGCCTGATGATTGAACAGAAGTTCTTGATAGTTAACACAGCAAATCTAGTGGGCTGTGCTTAAATTCTTCTTCCTCTTCTCTGGCATCTCTGTTAAGCTCTTGGAGATGTTCTCCTTTGTTAAAGTTACCATTCAAGTGCAAATTGTTCTTGTGTAAGGGTTAAAATATTATTTACTAGTGTCTGCTGTTTATTCTTACCCGGGATTTTAATCTGTTTACTAGTCATATTTGTGGACGAGTTAAATTTATATTTTGGTCCTTGGGGTAACTTCAAACACATCTGAGTGATTTAGTGAAGTGCTATGAAAATTGCATTTAATGGCATTTAAGATTCAGATCAGACTAATTAAAGACATTGCTGACAAACTGCAAACCATGAAACTAAAAGCACAGGAGTATGACATTAACACCTGTCAGGAGTAAAGTCTGAATGAGTTTCGTATTTACCTGTAAATGCAATCACTACATTTGACTGCAATTGCTTGTAAAGCAGTTTGAGATATTTTGACATGATAGATTATTATTTTTTATATGAAAAAACAGTGACTTTATGGAGAATGTGAAAAGATTCTTCAATCTGCTTTTGCGTAGAAGCAGGTCATCATGGAAGATAATTAGATTTATTGCAGCTAAATTAATTAGCTTTGCAAAGATTCACTACTGCACTGCATTGCACTTGTTTCAATGTCAGTGTAAACAGGATAAACCAGTGTGCTATGTGAATGATTCACATAATGTGTCGACCTCTGAATGCAAAGTGCTGTATTAACAGTATCCAAACTAATTGCAACTTCTAATAGAATTGTATTATAAAGTAATATGGAAAATCAGGCACTTCGATAGCTTGCAGGTCTTGAAATTAATCTGTAATTTCACACACTGAATAATGTGCCAATTAAAGTAAACTAGCGAACTATGGAGCTCTGGGGGTCTGTTTTAATAACTGGCCTGCTGCGACACTGCACTTTATTTTCACTTTCAAAATAACCATATTAGTACATCAAATAAAATCTCTACAGCATTGCACTACTGAATGGTTAGCACATAAAACCCCTCTTTTAAACCCTTTTAAACCCTGTTTACCCATGTGTCTTTGTAATATAAATTTAATATTCAGGACACAATTATTTTAATTATCAGATGGGCAAACAGTGCAGTACTGCTGTTTTGCTGATCTGTCCCCATAGATCACCCATCAAACTCTTACAATATTTTAAAGATACCCTCCTTTGCACTTCCAAATGGGAGTGATATTGATCTTTTCGTAACTGGTCTTCTCAATCATGAAACTGAGCAAAATCATCACTAAGCTGGTGCTGTTAACAAAAACATGTGAAATTTATGTCAGCCTCAAACAGAAATATCTTGAAAAAAATACCACTAGTTGGACTGTTTGATTAATTAGTACTGAAAAGAGTTCATAAATAATCCATAAGTATTTTACTCATCTGCTGTATATTTTGAGTCGTGTTTTAGATTCATTACTTCAAATGAACAATCTTCAGTATGTTTGATTTGTTAGTTAAACATACTTTATTTTCTTTGCGGGAGGACCATAACCTATTGTAAGTTTAACCTTTTGTGAATTTAACCTTTTGTGGCACAATTGAAATGATGATTGTGGACATTTAATTCAGGACTTGTGGAATCGTATACAGTAACTATGACAACAGAATGAGTCACAATTTGCAGTAGTAATAGTGTTCCTTTTTTATTTAAGGAAAGTTTAATAACTACTAGCAAATGGCATGTCCTCGTGCCACCATTTTGTTGGATTCGAGGCAATTGCTTTTAGGCTCCGTGTTGCACTTTAAATCATTTTATTTATTTAACAGTGCTCTCCAACATTGCTCCCCAACATTGGTCTGCTGAGGAAGGCCAAAACCCACACTTTCCTCGGCCAAAAACAAATCTAGTGCTCAACCAGGCTCAACTCAAAGCCACTAATTTCAACCCAATATTTCACACAATAACACAACTGCCAATAAAAAGCAGAAAGTGATGATAGATGGAAAGAGCACACTCTGTGGAGTAGTCAGCAGTAGAATTATTGGGTGTGGCTTTCTGTTCACATTATTTATAAATCTTTTAGAAAGTATTTTAAAATGTATTGTTGATAGCTTGCTATATGGACAAGTAACTAATATAAGAAAAATAAATACTATCAAGATCATCTGAACCAAACTAATTAAGCCTATGGAATTACAAGTGGAAAGTTAATTTCAATTCAGGCAAATTGTGACACAATACATATTGTCCTACAAGAAAAAAAGTTGAATAGCACAAGAGAAAAAAGTTGAATAGCACAAGAGAAAGGATTTGGATACAATTATAGAATAGTCACTGAAGCATTAGAATCTATTTCAATGTGTTGACAATAAAACTAATCAAACTAGGTTTATATTGGTAGCATTTGACAATAAATCAAAATAAGTTCTTTGAACTTTAGAGATCACTGGTGAACCCACTTTGAACACTGCTTGCAGTTTTGGCTACTCTAACTAAAGGCTCAGTAGGTAACAATATGAATGCTGACAAAGCAGGTTATTTAAACTAACAACAGTGTCACTGAACACATTGCACTCACCAGTCTATGTTCCAATATTCATTCACTCAGCTGGAATCTTCTTAAAGTCATTAGAAACCCAGGCCACGTATCAAAGTTGTGTGTTGGAGTACCTTTCTCTATCATTATCAAGATAACTCCACAGACAGCATTCTCATGAATCCACCATCAACGGGTGAGCTTTCAGTCATTTTGCCCCCACATTATGGAATTCTATACTGGAATCCCTCCGACTCCCTTCCTCTTCTCTTTCAAGGCAAGTCTCAAAACGTACCTCTTTGACCACGCTTTCAGTCATCTTTCCCTCCCCATTCCCCCAGTTTGGGTGTGCATCCAACATTATTAAATGTCCTCCTGACATGAAAGATGCTACATAAATGTAAATTGTATTGCATCCACAGTTCTGTCTGAGAAATCTCAAGACATCACATGCAAAATCACAACCATTTATAAATCGACTTGATGATTGTGAACAATGGTGAACAATCTTTGATTCTGTATTGATGGAGCAGATCTTGTTTTGAAAGGGAAATGTGTACCACCACTCCATGCCTTCCTCGTGTTGGTAAGAACAGCTGGAGTCATGTTTGAGGGTTTATGTTTGATGGTGACCATGATCTCCTCCTGTTGTCTCTCAGGTCAGTTGGCGAAAGAGCTCAAACAGCAGGAATGTTTACAGTACGCCGGCTTCTGCAACCTGGCTATGGCTCAGTAAGGCTACACCCCCTCACACACCCCCTCACACACCTTCACACACACCCCCTCACACACCCCCTCACCCACACCCCCTCACACACCCCCTCACACACACCCTCACCCACACCCTCACCCACACCCTCACACACACCCCCTCACACACCCCCTCACACACCTTCACACACACCCCCTCACACACCCCCTCACCCACACCCCCTCACACACACCCTCACACCCCCCCTCACACACCCCCTCACACCCCCTCACCCACACGCCCTCACACACCCCCTCACACCCTCCCTCACACACCCTCACACACACACCCTCACACACCCCCTCACCCACACCCCTCACACACCCTCACACACACCCTCACCCACACCCTCACACACACCCCCTCGCACACTTTCACACACACACCCTCACACACACACCCTCACACACCCCCTCACCCACACCCCCTCACACACCTCCTCACACACCTTCACACACACACCCTCACACACGCCCTCACCCACACCCCCTCGCACATACCCTGACACACACCCTCACACACACCCTCACCCACACCCCCTCACACCCCCTCACACACACACCCTCACACACACCCTCACGCACACACCCTCTACACACACCCTCTAACACACACCCTCACCCACATCCCCTCACACACCCTCACACACACACCCTCACCCCCCTCACACACCCTCACACACACACCCTCACACACACCCTCACCCACATCCCCCCTCACACACCCTCACACACACACCCTCACACACACCCTCACCCACACCCCCTCGCACACACCCTCACACACCCTCACCCACACCCCTTCACACACCCCCTCACACCCCCCCTTACACACCCTCTCACACACCCCCTCACACACCCTCTCGCACACACCTTCTACACACACCCTCTAACACACACCCTCACCCACACCCCCTCACACACCCTCACACACACCCCTTCACACCCCCCTCACACACCCTCTCACACACCCCCTCACACACCTTCTACACACACCCTCTAACACACACCCTCACCCACATCCCCTCACACCCCCCCTCACACACCCTCACACACACACCCTCACCCACACCCCCTCACACACCGTCCACACACACCCTCTAACACACACCCCCTCGCACACACCCTCCAACACACACACCCTCACACACCCTCTAACACACACCCCCTCACATGCCCCTCACACGCGCCCCCACACACTTACACACAAACCCTCACCCATACACACCCTCACCCACACCCCCTCACCCACATCCCCTCACACACACCCTCACACCCACACACCCCACACACACACTCTCACACACACCCCCACACACACCCCCTCACCCACACCCCCTCACACATCCCCTCACACACACTCTCACACACACCCTCACCCACACACCTTCACCCCCTCGCACACCCCCTCACCCACACCCCCTCACGCCCACACACCGTCACACACACACTCTCACACACACCCTCCCCCCCAATGCACACACACACACACACTGCACAATCTTCCCCCACCCCCCCCGCCCCGTCTTATGTCCTCCAACCTACTTCCTTACTCCACACGCCTTTGTTGCAGCCGGAACGATTGGGAGATCACTTTCCGGGGGTACTAATCCGTCGCTGGGTGCGATTGGCTGTCACGTTTCACCCACAAAATACACAGTCACTACACTTTACGGTGAGTCCTGTGAAGTGCTTTGAGACGTGTTAAGGGGCTGTAGCATATGCCAGGATTATTATTATTATTATTATTATTATTACCGGCCCGGCCCCCCTCTCCACACTGGCCTGTCCACCCCACCATCTGTGTGCGGGTGTCCCAGCCTCTCTGTGACTCCATTCCATAGTCCCTCCCCCTCGCCCCCACCGCCTCGCCCCCACCCCTCGCCCCTCCCCCTCGCCCCCACCACTCGCCCCTCCCCTCGCCCCTCCCCCTCGCCCCCTCCCCCTCGCCCCTCCCCCCCCCCCCCCCCCTCGCCCCCACCCCCTCGCCCCCTCCCCCTCGCCCCCCCCCTCGCCCCCCCCCCCCCCCCCTCGCCCCCCCCTCCCCCCACCCCCTCGCCCCTCCCCCCCCCCCCCCTCGCCCCCACCCCCTCGCCCCCCCCCCTCGCCCCCCCACCTCGCCCCCTCCCCCTCGCCCCCACCCCCTCGCCCCCTCCCCCTCGCCCCCACCACCTCGCCCCCTCCCCCTCGCCCCCACCGCCTCGCCCCCCCTCGCCCCCACCCCCTCGCCCCCTCCCCCCTCACCCCCACCACCTCGCCCTCCACCACCTCGCCCCCACCGCCTCGCCCCCTCCCCCTCGCCCCTCCCCTCGCCCCCACCGCCTCGTCCCCACCACCTCGCCTCCTCCCCCTCGCCCCCTCCCTCCAACTTGTTCAAGGTCCGACTCAAGACCTTCCTCAGTGACCGCATTTTGTCCCTAATTTCCCTCCCCACCCCACCTCCCCCCCCTGAGCCAACCCAATCCCTGACACCTCCCGATGTGAAACGTGTTGGTAATCTCTGCTGTGTCTCCGACTGAGATAGGAACCAAACTAACAGCTCTCACTCCCTCTCTTTTCTCCTTCACTCCCCCTCTCTCCCCCCTCTCTCCCCCTCCCCTCTCCCCCCTCTCTCCCCTCCCCACCCTCCCCTCTCTCCCCTCTCTCCCCCCCACCCCTCCCCTACCCCCCCAGCTGTGAGCAGACCCTGTTTAACGCCCCTGGGGAGGCTCTGGCGCTGACGGAAGCCGCGCGGCTGTTCCTGGAGACCGAGAGGGAGACACAGCGGCTACAGTGTCCCGGCTTCGAGGAGCATCTGCAGGCGGCAGCCAATTGTTACACCTTCGCCAGCAAGGTCAGCACACCCCCCCCCACCCCCCGCCCTAACCCCCCCCAAAACCCTCCTCGCCCTAACCCCACCCTCCCCGCCCGCCCCAAAACCCTCCCCCCCCCTCAGCGCCAGCAAGGTCAGCACCCCCCACCGAACCCCCCCCCCACCCTAAGCCCCCCCGACGCACTAACCCACCCCCCGCCCCCCAAAACCCCCCTCACCCCAACCCCACCCCGCTGCCCTACCGCCCCCCCAAACCCCCCCCCCCCCACTCCCCTCAGCGCCAGCAAGGTCATCACCAACATCACCCCCCACCCCGCCCTGAAACTCCCTCCCCCCAGGTTAGTTTACGGGTGCTGTGTTGGGGGGGCTAGGCTGGGATGTGTTGGGGGTGCTATGTTGGGTGGGGGTGGGGGGTGCAGGGCCTGACCCTGGTGTCTGCTGTTGTCAGGTTTACATTGAGCTGAACCAGCCGGTGATGGCCGCCAGCCTGTACCTGGAGCTTGGCAACGCCCTGAAGGTAAGGTGTTCCCCCCCCGCCGCGCTGCCTCCTGCTTGCCCCTCGTGTCCACCATTCCACCATCAGTGGCTGCTCTTTCAGCCATTGTGCCCCAAAACTCTGGAACTCTCCCCCTCTATCCCTCCCTCCATCTCACCCCCTCCTTCCCCATCTACAGGTCGCGCCTCAAGATCTTCCTGTTCGGCCGAGCCTATTGGTCACGTCCCCCTCCCCCCCGGCTCGGTGTCCGGCTCTGGGACGCTGCCCTGCGTGAGCGGCGCTGGGGTAAAGGTGTTGTTGTGGTTGATGCCCTCTGACCCCTGACCTCCTGTTCCAGGCTATGAACAAACCGGGGGAGGCCTTCGTGTCATACCAGCGAGCGGCCGAGCTGCAGACTCAGGTCCCCATCGAGTGTGTCCTGTCCCTGGACAAGGTGGCCTCCTGCAAGTTACTGACCCGTGAGTATAGCCCCACCCCCACCCCAGGGGTCTCCACACCCACCCCCACACGCCAGAGTCAGCACCTTCACATTGGGGTCTCCCCCACACACCAGGGTCAGCCCAGCCCCACCGACCCGCCCTACCCTCCACCCCCTACTGATCCCAACCCCCAGCTCGGGTCCAAACCCCTGACAGTCCAGCACCTTGAGACGTCCTCCTGACGTGAGAGACCGTGTAAATGTCATGTGTTGTTGTCTCTCAGGTGACTCTGATGGAGCTCTGGCTGTGTTTACAGAGATGCAGTTACTGGCTCAGGAGAAGGGGCTGCACCTGCCCGGCACCAACATCCCTGTGGGTGAGCAACTGTCATCGGGAGGGAGGGGGAAGGGGGGTAAAGAGGAGGGAATTTAAAGGTAAAAGGACATGTAAAGAGTGAGAGCGACAGAGAGAGATAGTGAGAGCAATGGGGAGAGAGAGCAACAGAAAGTGGAACAGACAGAGTGAGTCAGAGATTGAGAGAGGGAGACAGAGGCAGATATACTGAGAGAAAGAGAGAGACAGAGAGAGAGACAGAGAAATAAGGAGTGAGAGAGAGAGATGGAGAGAGATAAGGAGTGTTGCTGTGATTGCAGGGGCATTTATAATGGAGGGTTGTTTCAGCAGCAAGAGGGAGCACGCAGCAGCTAAAAAGCTTGAGTCTTGCTAACATGGCAGACTGAGCTCTCATTATTTCTGCTCTGTTAGTGAAGTAATTTTGCTATCACATGCTCGTGTCACTATTCTCTATATCGTAGGATTTTTTTTCATCAATACTTGTAGGGGGAGGAGAACTTGGGGCTGTCTGGGTAGCAGTGAACATATAGCTGACTTTAAGTTGGCTATTATTACAATGAATACTTGAGTGAGGCGGCCAGAAATTGTGTCTAGTATCTCCACCAAAATGGAGAGTTTTATGTTTATTTCACAATTCAGTTAGTGGTGAGTAAGAGTTTTCATGCATTCATTTGTCTCCTATTTCTACAATAAATTGAATTTAAGGGACTGTACGGTAAAAGAAAGTGGCATTATTGTATAATTTAACATGCATTCTGATAAAATGTATACAAGAAGGATATATTTTCTATTGCTGAAAGCTCTTTGCACTTCAGTTTTGTGTCTGACATATCTTTTGAACTAAGCAGTGAAGTCATCTGGGATAATCTTAAATGACAAACCAAACTACACTTCGTGCTCAGTATTTATAGGTTGTTCCCATAGCTTCTTCACTTTAGACTTCTATAATTTAGGTATGGCTTAAGAACATAAAATAAGTTGTTTGGTTTTGCTTTGAAATCAGTGCTTTTTTCTTGCTCTTATTTGCATTTTGTGTTTTCTTTAGCCTGCTTCTGTGGGTTTAGCAGTATATTTTATGTACAGCAAATTATATTTGTATAGCACCTTTCACATCAGGAGGACATGCTGTGCAAGTCATACACAGTTCATGTCAAAGTTCATGTTAGTGCCAATGGAATTTAAAAAACAGCCGTATCCCTTTGTTCCAGTATAGTAAATGCTTCTGGAATAAAATATTCATGAAAAACTAGCACAAGTCTAGTAAATAATGAATAGTCTATACAAGGATTTATGTCTTCCCAAAGAAATACTACCCAATATTACATCACTGATGTATTAAATATAAATTACAATAATAATCCTTACATTAAAATAGCTCCTTATCACCTTGTTGAGACATCTCAAAACACTTCACAGGATTTTACAGTGTAGTGTTGTGACTGTATTTGTAGGCAAACAGTTTGTGCAAACAATAGCCCACAGAATCAATATAGTGAGTGATCAGTTTTCTGGGGAATAGTTGGCCAGAACACCAGAAGAAACTCCATTCTCTTTTTGAATAGTGCTATGGGAATATTTAAATCCACCTGCACAGCCAGACAAAATTTTGGTTTTATTTCTCATAAGAAGACAACACCTCTGATAATGCTGTCTCAGCATTTCAATGGAGTGTCAGCCTAGACTGTGAATTCAAAGACCTGACTGAACTGAATGTTTTCAAATTCAGTCATTAACAATTTATAATGTTCAGTCATAGTTGAACATCAATTTCATCGAAACAACCTAGAAATTACAAGTGAACATTTTCTGTGTGAAATACATCTTTCTTAATCTTAAAACAAACAAATGCAATATTCACAAACCACAAGTCACAAATCTGGTTTGTGAATACTGGCAACATTAGATGCAGACTGGCAAACTGTGCAAGCAATTCTGTGCATTCTAATGAACTGGGAAAATATCATGTAGATATCTGTGGTTGCTCACCCTGTATCTCAGCTGGATGAGGATTTATGATTTGCAAAGCATGCAGGTAATGGGATGTTAATATTAATATTGAAGTTGTGTTTTAGAGCTGATCATGTTAAGTTTCACAAAGGTCTAGAACACAAAATGTATGCAATTGTTTGAATCATTTTGAGCAGTACAATATAAACAAAATACACTCTGCTACCATAGAACCTAAACCGTGACAAAGAGATATTACTCCTATTATATCTGCAGTACTGACACGATGAAAGATTCATAGATATCAACAATTAAAAACAAAGAATGGGTTAATGTTTGATTTCAAAATCCAACTATGGCCTGGAAGTCATATTTATGAACAATCATGGACAATTATCTTTCTTTGATAACTGGTATAAAATTAAAATTAATATGCACTCATTTGCATTTCCATCAGCACGGTGGTTCTTCATCTTATTCAGAAAGTGAAGGATTTGCCCTCCACTGATCAGGAATGCAAATGATCTTTAATCAAAGAACTGACCAAAGTAATGAGGTTATATTAGATTTTTTTTTGGTGAGATAAACATATGAGCCGCACAGTGGTATTTGAAATAGATCCATCAAACAGCACATTCCAGTCATACAGTTTCTTTTGTACAAGAGTTGTATGGCAGCTTAGCTTTAACATTCTTGTGATATTGAATAGAATGCTCTAGAGATGTTATACAATTCTGATTAATATTGAAGGAGAATTGTGATCAGTTCCTACCTAACATATATACTTTTATAATTCTGTTCAACATCAGTTGGATCTGCTTGAATCCCATTGGACACTTGCAGTTATTTAAGAATTTCAGTAAAATCAAAGTGGTCCCACTGACCACTGAACAATTATATCACTGTAACTGGGTTTTATAACATACAGAAAGTAGAAATACTGCAGTGAATCTAGTGGTTATTTTAGCATAGAATCACAGCATTTTACAGCACAGAAGGAGGCCATTCTACCCATCATGCCTGCACCAGATCTTTGAAAGAGTTACCAACTAGTCCCACTCTTACCCCATAGACCTGCAATTTTTTTCCTTTTTAAGTACCTATCCAATTCCCTTATTATCAAATCTGCTTCCACCAGCCCTTCAGGCAGTGGATTCCAGACCCTAACAACTCTCTGGGTAAAAATAATTCTCCTGGTCTCCACTCTGGTTCTTTTGCTAATTATCTTAAATCAGTATCCTCTGGTTATCGACCCACCTGCCAGAAGAAACAGTTTCTCCCTATCCATTCTATAAAAACCTCTCATAATTTTGAATAACTCTATTAAATCTCCCCTCAACCTAAGGAGAATAATCCTTAGATCACGGACAGATGTAAAGCAAACAGAGTTGTCATAATGGAGGATTTCAATTATCCCAATACAGATTGGCAAAATAGCAGCGTTAAGGGCAAGGCAGGGGAAAGATTCATCAATTGTGTACAGGAAAATTTTCTTGAGCAGTATGTCTCCAGTCCTACAAGGAAGGAAGCATTGCTGGATCTTGTCCTAGGGAATGAAATAGGTCAGGTTGAACAAGTTTCGGTAGAGGAGCATCTAGGTAACAGTGACCATAATATTATTAGATTTAGATTACTCATGAACAAGGACAAAGTACAGTCAAGGGTGAAAATGCTTGACTGGAAAAGAGCTAATTCTGATGGGCTAAAGAGGGACCTAGAGTTGGTGGACTGGCAAGTAAGAATGGCAGGTAAAACGACTCATGAGCAATGGGAAATCTTCAAAGATACGATAGCTCAGGGTCAAATAGATATATTCCCACAAAAGGGAAATGTGCGAGAACCAAGCCAGCCTGGATGACCAGGGATATTCTGTCGATGATGAAAAAGAAGAAGATGGCGTACGACAATTGGCGGATGCAAGACACTGAGGATAGCAAAGCGCATTATAGAGAATGCAGGAGTGATCTTAAAAGAGCGAGAAGACCGGCTAAAAGATCGCATGAGAAGAGGTTAGCGGGTAACATAAAGGGGAATCCTAAAATATTTTATAAGCACATAAAAGAAAAAAGGTTAGTTAAAAGTAGGATGGGGCCAATCAAAGACAATGACGGCAATCTTGTTGTGGAGGCACGGAAACGGATGCCCCAAATGCCACAGTATTGGATGAGAGGGTAGAGGACATAGATCAGAGTAGTATAGACAGAGAGGAAGTTCTGAAAAGATTGACTGGGCTCAAAATTGATAAATCACCAGGACCAGATGGGTTTCACCCAAGGTTGCTGTGGGAAATACGGGTTCAAATAGTGGAGGCTTTGGCCATTATATTTCAATCGTCATTGGACACAGGAGTGATGCCAAGAGACTGGAGAGTAGCTAATGTTACCCCCCTCTACAAAAAGGGGCAGAAAGACAAGCCCGGAAATTACAGGCCAGTCAGCCTAACTTCGGTAATAGGAAAGCTACTGGAGACCGTAATCCGGGACAAAATAAATCTCTACTTAGAGGAACACGAGGTAATTAGAGACAGCCAACATGGATTTGTTAAAGGCAAATCTTGCCTAACAAATCTAATAGAATTTTTTGAAGAGGTGACTGCGAGGTTTGATGAGGGAAATGCGGTGGACATTATTTACATGGATTTTAAGAAGGCTTTTGACACAGTACCGCAGAAGAGGTTAATAAAAAACTGGAGGCCCACGATATTAAGGGGACAGTAGCCGTTTGGATTAGGAACTGGCTGAGTGACAGAATGCAGAGGGTGGTGGTTAATGGGTGTTTCTCGCAATGGAAGGAGGTGTTCAGCGGTGTCCCCCAGGGATCGGTATTGGGACCACTGCTCTTTCTAATATATATTAATGATCTGGACTTGAGCATAGAGAGCACTATTTACAAGTTTGCAGATAATACCAAGTTAGGTAGGGTAGTAAATAATGAAAAAGATTGTGACGGACTGCAGGCAGATATACACAGAATGGTGGAATGGGCTGACATGTGGCAGATGGATTTCAATGTAGATAAGTGTGAGGTGATACACTTAGATAGGAAAAATGATAGGAGGCAATATAGACTTGGTAGCTCAATCTTAAGGGGGGTGAACGTACAGAGAGATCT